ATCATTTTAAATTTAATATTGTACGATAATTATTGTACGTGTCTTTTGTGCTCGCACTTTACTCGACGCCCACTAAGCCCACTAATGACGATATTCATACCGCTTTAGTGACAATATTTCTCCGACATATATATACAGATAAGACTTAAAGTACCAATATGAATATGAGTAAAGGGTTTTAACGTCCGTAGACCTACAATGGCGATTTTGATCCCAATTTCATAATTAGAATTTATTCCTTTAATTCCTAGTTTGTGATCAGCGCTCGGGACATCATCGTAATATATCAATCGTAAGATAACAAACATTACGAGTATTGCATCTAGGATATACAACTGAGACAACGATAATTAAAAATTATCAAAATGTACAAGATATAAAATCTATCTACATATATATATGGATTTATAGTTGCAACGTATTTGCATTGAACAATACTGCGCCGCTCGTTTCCACTTTGCCTTCCTTTCGAAGGTTTGCGATTCTTGGCTTTAACTTTAATTTTAAAATTAATTAATTAAATTAAACATTGTTAATTTACATGTTGATTAAAATAAAAAAAAATAGCTTTCAGAAAGCATGACGTCATAATAAATTGCTGATAAAATTTTATGTAGGCTAAAACATAGAAATAGGCAAACAAAAAACTTTTAAATTTTTTTTCTTTTATTACCTTAATCAAAAACATAAACATAAAAAAAATAAAAAAAGCAGGTTACTTAAGTTATAAGGCAATGGGCAGCCTTATCGCTAACAAGCGATTTCTTCCAGGCAACCCTAAAGTGGAACAATGAAAAAGAAACACCTATAGAGGGTACAAGTAATGCAAAAATTATAAACAAAAAAAACTCTTAATAACGTTACTATAACTAAAATAAAATAAAGTAAAATCTAAAGATAAAATAACAATAATAATAAATACAAATATGTAGAAACAATTTAAAATACAATCAAAAGGTTAACAGAGTTACAATAATTAATACATATAAGCAGAGCTAATTACGAGGCGGAAAGAAAATGATCAAAAAGAAGCTCTTTTAATAAATTTAAGGACTGAGCTCGTCTAATATCAATTGGTAGGGAATTCCATAGCAGGATACTTTGCACAGTAAAGGAGGAGTGATCCAAAAAGTGAGGAAAAATCCAAAGTAGCACAAGACATTAACGTTACGTCACATGTATACAATTAAATTAATATATCACAAGGCTTACGTTATAATAACGAATGACATGGTTTATGTTATATTGTAACATGGCGTCCGCCGTACAAATTAATCCGCCTGTGTTCTGATATTAATTCTAATTTAATGAGATTTCAACCCTGATTCGCAATTTGGCTGTGGAATTAGTATGCATCATAATAATCTTAATGAAAATTAGTATGACAAAACGATGGACTAGCTGCTGATATGTGATAATTGGCAACATAATTATCCTATCCTATAACTGTCCCATTTAAAATAAGTAAAAAAAAATGTATAAATTTTCAGACAATAAAGGAATACTGCAATTTGAGTAACTGTACTGTTTTTAATATCAAAGCTATTAAGAAATTAAATTTCGAAGCTATGTTTGAACAAATATTAGGTCCTTACATATGAAATTGGCGTATTTCGTACTGGCCACTTTAATCACGATGTTCTCCTCTTTGGTAAGGAATTCCAAATTAAAATTTGTACAGCTATTTACTCATGTATTTGTGCTTCGATGACCGTCATTCATTTGTTTTTTTCTGTTTGCGTCACTCATTTTACAAAATGGAAAACTTAAAGTAGCGCATTATTTACGAGTACGAGTTCCGCCGTGGCACTAGTGCTGCGGAAACGACTCGAAGGGTGAATGATGTGTATGGTGGTCATGTTGCAAAAGAAAACACAGTTCGTTTTTGGTTCCAACGTTTTCGTTCTGGAAATTTCGACCTGCAAAACAAGCCCCGTGGACGGCCTGAGACCCAAGTTGATAATGAAGTATTGAAGGCTATTGTGGAAGCGGATCCATCGCAAACCACGTCCGAGTTAGCTGCAGGCTGCGGTGTTAGTGATAAAACTGTTTTAATTCACTTGAAGCAAATTGGGAAGATTAAAAAGCTTGAAAGATGGGTACCTCACGAATTGACTGAAGCAAACCGGCAAACGCGCGTCGACTGCTGCGTTACATTACTGAACCGGCACAATAATGAAGGTATTTTAAACCGAATCATTACCTGTGATGAAAAATGGATTCTTTACGATAATCGGAAGCGCTCAGCGCAATGGTTGGATCCTGGCCAGCCAGCCAAATCCTGCCCCAAGCGAAAATTAACCCCAAAAAAGTTACTTGTAAGCGTTTAGTGGACTAGTGCCGGTAATGAACAATTCATTACAGTTTTCTCAAATCTGGCCAGACTATTACGGCTGATGTCTATTGTCAGCAATTGCAAACCATGATGGAAAAGCTAGCGGCTAAACAACCTAGGCTGGTCAATCGCTCCACGCCACTGCTACTTCACGACAACGCTAGACCACACACTGAACAACAGACGTCTACCAAATTAGAAAAGCTTTAATTGGAATGTCTAAGACATCCTCCGTACTCCCCGGACCTTGCTCCAACAGATTACCATTTTTTTCGAAATTTGGACAACTTCTTGCAAGGGAAAAAATTTAACTCTGGTGGGGCAGTCCAAATCGCCTTCACAGATTTTATTGATTCCCGTCCGACTGTTTTTTTTAGTAAAGGGATCAATGAACTACCTATGAGATGTCAAAAGTGCATAGAAAACAATGGTTCATACTTTGATTAATTCAATATATTATATTTAAAAATATTCGACTTTTTGTTCCTCCCATACAAAACGCCAATTTCATATGTAAGGACCTAATATATAACTACAGGTGCGAACATTGATTTTATTTGAATGCCAAAAAAATATTTGTAAATTTGAAGACATTAATAATGATCCTAAGTAAAAATAAATCAGTGGCTCTACAATCTCTTTAGGTCTTGGCCTCAGATTTCTGAATCTGTTTCATGATCATTTTTAAATCTAATAGGAAAGTAGGTGATCAGCCTCCAGTGCCTGACACACGCCGTCGACTTTTTGGGTCTAAGACATGTCGGTTTCCTCACGATGTTTTCCATCACCGTTCGAGCAAGTGTTAAATGCGCACATAGAAAGAAAGTCCATTGGTGCACAGCCGGGGTTCGAACCTACGACCTCAGATACGAGAGTCGCACGATGAAGCCACTAGGCCAACACTGCTCCTGATATGTTGAATAAGTAATAATAATCTAGCTGGACTATAACCATGTGTCTATGTATGTACGTATATGTCTATGGGTGTTGGTCTCAAATCGCATTTGTTTCCTTTATAATTTTTTTATATAGACACTCACCTATATTACCATCTAATTAGGTCATTAGCCTTTTGTGTCTGACACATGTCGTCGATTTTTGGATCTAACATACCGATTTCCTCACAATTACATAGGTAATTGCGTACATAAAAAGAAAAACGCATTATTGCACTACCGAGACTTGACCTCATTATTGAAAGTTATACTACCACTAGCTTAACACTCCTTATATATAATTATTTATATATTATGATAACTGTGTTACTGATACTTTATGATGATACTTTAAGTAAAAGCAAGTTACATAATCCTTTATGGGTTTTGGACTACGAAAACTTTTCGAACAGTTCGAATCCAAATCTAGCTAAGTTAAATCCCAGAGCAGAAAAGCAACTTCTTAAAGAAGTGCTGACTGGGAATTATCGGAATTGTCAAGTAATACAATTACATAGACAGAAGGCGAGTGCCTAGAATGAGGTTCATTTACCGAGATAGCATTCAAACTTACTCAGTCGTCGATATCTTTGTCCTAGATGTTGTAGATTAAATATTAAATAGACTTCCCTTTTACTTATTCTTCTTCCTATCCGGTGCACTCTTGACAGAGCGGTCGTGATCGCTATGAAGTAGTGGTGTTAGAAGGGGCAGATGTGATGCGCTTCACGACGTTTCGCCGTCGTTGCCTATTAGAGGTCATCCTGCTGCTCTGGTTGAATGAGTCTCCTACGGCAGACTTGATTTGGTCAGTCCAACGCGTAGGTGACCTTCCGCGTGGTCTAGTGCCTTCCACCTTCCCCTGGACGACAAGACGTTCTATGGACTGATCACCACGCCGAGTTACGTGTCCGAAGAATGTAAGGATGCGAGATTGTACTGTTGAAAACAGACGCTGCTTAATACCGAGTTCTTGAAGGATCGAGACGTTTGTACGAAACTCGGTCCACGAAACCCCAAGCATTCTCCTCCAGCACCACATTTCCAGAGCGTCTATTTTCTGCTTTTTCACATCTCGCAAGGTCCACGTTTCAGCTGCGTACAGAAATATGGGGAATATAAGTGTCTTCACGAGCCTGGTCTTCGTGGCTTTTGTTATATTCCTGTTTCTCCATATTTTTTGCATCTTGTCCATCGCCGTTCTTGTGATGCCCATACGTCGTTTGACCTCATCGATGCATCCGCCATTGCTTGAAATCTGAGCCTCAAGATAAACATAAGATTGGACCACGTTGCATTTCGCATGAAACATCTGGTCGCCACGTTCTCCTAAGACTTTAATTGTCTCTATAGGAATTGCATCTCTACCAGTTGCTTTTTTGCTTTTCAGGTGCTTTATGGCGGTTCTTACTTCGGACAGAAGGATGTCTGGTTCCAAATTCTCTGGCTCTGATTCTGTCCTTATAGACAATCGCGACTGCGGATCCAGGAACAATGACTGGCAATAGCTCCTCCACGTTTCAGAGATTTGTTCGAGTTCTGTTACCACTTCATTTTTGTCGTTCTCGATAGCCCAGGTTTTAGCAGGTAGAGATTTAGTAATTAGACGAATTTTGTGGCAAAGATCTCTAGACTCGTGCTTCATAGCATGCTTTTCAAGTTCGTCACAAATGCAAGGTTCGTTCGCCTGCAGCAGGCTTGGTCTTAAAGACGCCGATTCTCTCTTATGTCTATCCGGGCTTTAAGGGTCCAGTGTCCGTCATCCAGTGTTGACGTTTGCGCTTTTCTGATCCCGGACTAGACTCCGTGACAGCATTTTGGATGAGTTGTTTAGCCTTATTCCATAGCGTATCTGGTGTAGCTTCGGTGTGGTTTACAACTGTCCAATCTGTCCAACTCCGCTCAGTGGCTGTAGTGAATTTCTCGTTATCTGCTACTTCAATCCGTCTTATCTTCTTGGAGGATCGAGCGGTTTTGAGCTTCAACCTCATCTTTGCGATAACGAGTTCGTGATCGGAACCACAATCAGCCCCAGGAAGGGTGTGGGCATTAAGAATAGAGGTGCGCCAACGTGATCTTATCAGTATGTAGTCGATCTGATTTTTGGTTCTACCTACGGGGATGGTGTTGGAATAGACTGTTCACCACTACCATGTTGTTCTCGTCTGCGAACTGCATGGATCTTTCACCTCTTTCGTTACGTACCCCAAGTCCGAAGTTTCCCACAGATTTGCTGTACTGGGCAGAGTTTGCGCCGATTTTTGCGTTGAAATCACCCATTATTATAAGTAACTCTCTATTGGGGATTTTAGCAATTGTTGCTTGTAAATCTTGGTAAAAACTCTCCAGTACGAGGGGTAGAGCTTCACTAGTGGGGGCATATGCCTGTATTAGGTTCAAGTTTACAGGTGACGCTTTGAGCTTGCGGTCGCTAACTGCCTCATACCCTATCATACTGTTATTCTGATGCTTAGGAATTAGAATCGCTACTCCGTATTGGCTACTGTCATCGCTACTGGAAAAGTAAACAGCATGGGCGTCGGTAAAGAAGTGCCCGTTGTTTCTCCAGTGCGTTTCTGTTAGACCGCAAATGGATAAACCACATCTGGTGACTTTCCTCTCCACGATATTAAGTTTACCGGGCTTTAGCAACCCGCGAACATTCCACGTGCCTATCTTCTGGATTTTTTGCAACTTGACGGAGTTTCCAGTAGCATTATTTCCACGTGGAGCCTGGTCTCTTACTCCAACATGGCCGGTAGTCCATTTCCCACCGCTCGCCCCGGACGCGGCGCGGCGCCGCTGGCTTGACGGTTCGCATGGCAGTCGTGATTCTCTTGTGTCTACTTTCATAACGATTTTCTCGGGAGATTAGCTGCAGTGGTTTCCCGTTGCCTTCTGCGCCAGTTCTTTTAGTTATTTGAACCCCAAGGCCGCTGTAGCCTCTTCTGACCTCTGGTCAGGAATGTGGTTATACCGCCACTGCTCGGTCGCCATTGCCTCGTCTGTTATCTAGCAGGGGGACCACGGTATAGGAATACCACCGCGGATGATGTGTGGTCCGCGCATGCAGGTGAGGTTGACAGTTGGGGCCGGAAAGATGTTAAATCCGTTCTCCCCCATTACCCCCCTTTACTTATTACATTTGTTATAATATATATGTTTTTAATAAAACACTTTCTGAATTGATTATAGTTATGTAATTTAAACTTATAATAACATAACTATAACCCGTTCAAAAAGTATTTTATTAAATGTGTAAAAGTTATGTCAATAAAAGACAATATTATATATATATTTTGATTAAACAAGAAGCGTGAAGTTACAGGAAAAGACAATTAATTTCGATGTTCGACTTTATTTTCATTTTACCAACGTGACGTGTCATTCTCTCTCTCATGCGCTTATCTTCTCAATAAACAAAGATCCTCTTCTGAAATAAACAAAGATCACCTTACGTATTCACTTGAATCATAATTTTTAAGTTTCTACTATATCGTCTAGTCTGCATTTTCATAGCTCTTCACTGTCGATACGATACGAACGGAGCACTTCCAAGTTGCAATGTATTTGCATTCAACAATACTGCGACACTCATTTTTGCTACTTAAGTGGGACATTTCAATGAATCGCCTTTGAAATCGTATCGATCTGTTGTTTCGTCTTGTTGATTCATTGTGGGGAGTGAGAGGCTTTTGTTGCGCTTTTGTTTATAACGCTTCGCAATTGTTTTGTTCCTGACATTAGAATGCATTTCCAGTAGTTTGACGTTAACGTTGTCTTTCAACAGGTTATGTAAGCATTTCGTGTTGGAGTTGCTAAGAAATTTGCGTATTTGGATACGGTTTGAACCAGAATGCTTTTGTTTGTATTTCCATAGTTTCATGCCCTGGAGGAACCTCACTTATTGCGACAAAATAACAATAGTCGTGGTAACAATTATCTGTACACATTAAATATACATACTACTTCATATGTTCTACTTATATTTAAAGTTAATTATCTAATCACCTGAAATGTTTTAATTAAACACAAAGCAAGTTTAGTACAGTGAAATGCTTTTATTTATTACTAGTTCCTACTTTAAGCTCGTCCGTCCCAAGTAAACATAATTATGTTGCATTTGTGATAAAGTTCCTACTAATTTTCTCCTTCAAAACTTTATGGACCGGATTCACACGTCGAAAACCATTGTTTCTTAACTTTATTTTTGGTCCCTAAAATAGGGCCTCCAAGTCTCCAATAAATATTTTAAGCTTTATAAAATAAGAGTAACTTCAATCCTATATTACATTCTGAAAATATAATCACATAATTTACAGATGTCTGATAAATATAAGGCACATAATCTTATAAAATATAGAAAGGGTTTATAAGAAATAATAATATATATTGATGTTGTTCGCAGTCGTTTTCAGCGAAAGTCACACAGTCATGTAAATAATGTTATAAATTCCTTAAAAAATATTTATATAAACGTGTAGAATTCGCCATTTTATGTTTTCTATTATCTAATACTGTTTTAATACTCATCAATTAATAAGAAATTAAAGTAAGCAATAGCCATTCATACTCGTATATTGAAATCTTCAAATCATTATTTTATGATTCATAAGTTGCCCCAGCTTCACACAGCTGGACATTTTAAAGTCATAAGGAGGATTAAGGATATTGTTAATTAGAATAATGTAATGTTGAAATATTTAAATCGGCCCAGTCCTTTTCTCTTAACGATATCAGTATTGATTTTTAGGGCCCCAGATTATTTGTTTTAAGTACGTTCCCGACAAGCTACGTAATGAGATAAACGTCGACGGGCACCCAAGTTGACTTGTGGGTTATTAATTAGATACCCTTCCGCTTGTAGGTAAGCACACATTTCTGTATATTGTTTGGGTTAATTCACCACATAAATATCCAATATGTATTAAACTATCTTGTGTTTGTTTTATTGGTAAATTAAGCCATTCAAACCGTGTCAGCAAGTAATGCTACCTTGAAGTCATGTCACCAAAAGATTTTTCTCTCTATTTTCCTAATGAATGCCGCCCGAGACGTTCCCTTCTTGGGCTTTGAAAAATCTAAATTAACTGAAATGAAGGCCCAAAAAGTTTGGGACACTGGATTATTATTAAGACATTCGATTCCATTGTTTTCGACTACAAAGGTTTCATTATCATTTATATTTGAAACGTTTTAATTATTCATGTATAATATGTCTTTCTATCTAAAATAGTCTGCGATATTGATACAAGTCAAGAGCTAATGTTTGGGCGGTCTCATGGGAAATAACCGATATTTATCGTGAGATACGGAAAATTAATCAGAGACGAACCGTTATACATTTTATATTAGTCTAGCATTCATAAGGATTATCGTATAATATACTACGATTTTTGTTGGAATTCTAAATAAGTTACGGGACTTAAGTAACTACGAGACTACGGTAGTAGGTAACTACGGGACTTAAGTAAGGGACTTAAGTCGAGTTCTTATATGGAAGAAGAAGCTGAATTCAAAGCGCACATCAATATACAAGATAAAAAGCAACAGCAAACTGAATATAATCAGGAAACATTAATGTCTCAAATTAACAACTTCTATGAAAAATGAGAACTGGATCGGATGACGGCATTCGTTAGGAGAATCGATGCCTCATACATATTCAGGGTGCGGACACAATTAGTCCTCTCCATAGTTGTGAGCCGGACCGCCAATTATATTTGCGAATCGCTTTTTGCCACTAATTTGAATTGTCGAGTGTTCGCGGCGTACGATCGTGTTACGATTGCGATTTGGTTCTCGTTTAAATTTCGATTTGGCAATTACAACCGAATAACCAATATTGCTTCTGCCGCTAAGAATCAGATCTGGTTTGTTAGACAATTTAAACCAGGTGTTGAGAAATAGGCTTTATGGTAAATTAGACGCATAATCTTTATATTTATATTATTATCGAATGAGATCTAAGTAATAATATTGAATTGAAAAATATGGCAATACGTAATAGGACTTATTTCAAAGGTATTCTTATATTTCTAAATAATACCCCGCAGCAATAAAGATACTTTTTACCGAATAATATAATTCAAAGTATATAATTCAAATATATTCAATAATAGAAAATACCGATACTTTCATGAGTAAAGGATCTTGAGCGAATATTTTATTCAAAATTTATGAGGGATTTGTGTTATATAAGGGACTCACTGGATACCTACGATTATGGTTTAATTCTTAACCTTGCGGTTCTTGGTTCCATTCTTGATTGTATAGAAATATTTATGATCCACGTTCAACCGATAAGTCAAACACATATAGCCTCCAGAATGAAAACAGCAAGTTCAGAATGACAACACTTCTAATTTATTTAATTATTATTTTAATAGTACACAAATCTTCTTCACCCAAGACTTAACACTCAAGCCTGGAAAGGATGATTACCACGCATTACTCGCGTCCATTAAATAACAATTTTGGTCCCTGTGGCAGTGTACCATTATTGCTGGCAGCATTTCCTCAGATTAGTTATCGGTCTATCGAACAAGAGCTCTCTGTAGAATCTTTACTCTAATGTAAAACAAAAGGTTGGAGGAGAGACTCTTATATTTTTGGCATTTATTATTTTCCGCCTACTCTACGGCCACGTCAGCTTTTGTGCTTGTCCGAAGGAAGTGAGACTAACGTATCCCCACAAGTAGCATCCCATACCAAAGCCGGCCATCCTCCAAAGGATCAAAGACCGTCGCATCACACCGCCTATCCCACGATAGTCTGGGGAAATACTATTCCGTATGCATATATATCTTGAAATTATTAAATCCGCAATCTGTAGCTAGATTTGTAAGCAGATGAAAGAAACACTGGAGGCTAACTGTTCTCCTGAGTACACCCAATCCGCCAAGCAAATAGGAGCGACGCTTCATTCCAAAAAGCGGTTTTAAAACAAAGTTTAAATAAACTCCCCCGTTTAAAAAAAATCCAAACCATG